ATCCTTGTAATAAAATATTTCTTCGCAACGTGTAATGTTAGGCTAAAGAAATTTGTGTAAGCAACGAGTCATTACATAACTAATACATTATATAACAAAAGAAATGCAGTACATGGTTGGCAGTTTTCAGTATCCTTATTTCCCTATCGATCGCAAGTGGACTAGACACCTGTAAGTTTGTTCCGGTTCTCACAACGCTAGTATGTATCTGCTTACACGCGTATAACCGACTTGTTGACAATTGTTGTACGCATGTTACACGCGCAAATGCACCTTGTCCAAGAACACCCAGGGTTCTATACTTATCGTTAAAATTCTACGTGATATACTCAATAAGCACTTGCGCAAACAGTAGACAGGTTGTACAAAAAGTCATATGTCGATTCGGTTCGTACCGTTAGCACAGAATTCAAATCCAACAACACTTCGAATTTATCTAAGACAGATATTAGTTAAGCAGAGTTTTTCGTCAGTTTGACGGATTCGCGTAATCAATGTCAAAGACCTCCGTTATGCTTACATGCCACGTGAGCGTCGAGCTCCAGTGACGGGAAGGAGATGATATCGCCAGGTGATATTACCATGGTATAAGGGTATCCGATCTGAACACCATTCACCCAAAGTCTTGGATTGCTACTGCATTTTTGGATGGTTGTCTCATAATAATCTCGTTCCAATTGTTTTGTCACCTAAATTACGTGAGAACCATGGTTCTTAAGTGGTATTAAAATGTATATATAAATTAATTCAAAAAATACCTTTGTTATGACACAGTGATTGCGACTTATTCCTACGTCCTTTATTACCTAAATGAAGAAAGCCTATTCAGAGAACCTCATACTAGACATATGTCGGGGGAAAGAAATTATAGTGATACCGTATCGTTTTTTGAATCTCTTCCGATTTTATGTATGTCTTTAAAGATTTTAATTTCTCGTATTTCGTTAAACCCTCTATCGACGGGCGTCAGCTTGGCCCATTGTCTTGGACCATCGAGGGTAAGACGTGCAGTCGCATTCGCAAGATTTAACATGGACACGTTGCTGTTTCCCATTTGGTCCTCTTGAGCATCGAGTATTCCCTTTCTTGGAACTTGGCGTACCTAGAGTTAGCGTTAGGGTTAGGGTCGTATGAATAAAGCTTAAAACCGTAGGAAAACAAAAAGACGTCTGAGAAGCTGCATGAACGCGCATTAGAAATATCAAAATCTTGTAACACATGATTGGGTCTGATCTGTGACGCAGTCACAAATAATAATAACTCGTACCCAAAAAGGCAATAACATATTATTGTTTACACGTGAAAGTACTCTTAAACAAAAGTTATTATTTATGTTGTGTAGATAAACATTCGTGTGACTTTGCAAATACGCGTTTTTCATTAGTTTCATATATGGTGCACCAACTCTATACTCGACAATAAAACCGCTTGTCTTCAGCTCAACGCATAAGCCTTTTTTTTTTGCCAGTAATCATGTTATCGTGATATGCTTTACAAAATTACTGGCCGGTTTGTCATAAAAATGCCTCTACGTTGGGTTGAAGCTGGAGCACTTTTATAACAAAATGCAAATTTTTTATTTTATTATTGTTAGTTTTCGGAA